CATATAAGACATTACTTCGAGACAGAAAAAGGAAAAAGCAGGTTAGATGTTTTCCACAATTAGGTTTATATACTAAATACTAAATTAAACATATGACACGAAACATCCTAATACTCTTTTTTATCGATAGAAATTTCCCCGCTTGAAAAATTTAACAACGATCACCCATGATGTTTACAATCAGCCTTCACATTATTTGCAAGATTCTATAAATCAGCACATCATAGAAAATCATTTACTTGAGTCTGCTAATGAAAATGAAACAAATTATACACATGACGATGCATGCACAATTTATGAACCCGTGAAACATATAGTGTTTTTCTCAGATAATTATGACTTCTGATCAAGCTACATTATATGACGACATTTTATTGAGGGAATTCTTGGACGATAGTTCAGATCAGCTTGATAATACAAATAATAATCTTCTCAACCCTAAGGATTATGAAAGCTTGGTAAATAGTGTCAATTTCACCCAAGTAATATCTAATTTTTTAAACAACAGTCCTGCAGAAGTTTTGTTTGAAGTTTTAAAGTTTTCATTAGAGAATACATTACCCATAATGCAAATATCAAATCTTCTGAAATTAGTGAATTCTTTTTTTATTGAGTCTGTGATCTTTGATAGTAAATACTACAAAGAGAAAATTTTGAGTGAACACAGTAAAATATAGTTTCTCGGTATTTGTCCCACATGTAATATATATTTAGGACAAATAAAAGAATTCATTTATAACGTGTCAATCATGTGGTGAAAAGATTTACTCGAACAATCCATCTTGTGCAAATATGTTCATCTTGATTGACCCTTCAGATAAAATTAGAAGACTCCTAGTCCTAGAATTAATTTAATAATCAAGATTATTATTTTTATGTGATGCATGAAAGAAAGTATAATGGGATAATACGTGACATTTATGGTCGAGCGTATAGAAAATTTGTCAAATCCTTACCAGAAGCCGATAGATACAATTACATTACAGCTTGTCTGAATACGGATGGAGCTCCAAGATTCGAAAGCTCTAGCTACTCAATCTGGCCGGTATATATTCAACTTAATGAAATTCCTTTGAATTGTACTGGAAAAAATGTTATCACTATCGGCTTATGGTTTGGTAAGAACAAACCGAACATGACTGCTTTTTTGACTCCTGTTGCAAAATTTATTGAATAATCTATCAGTAAACAGTATTAAATGTTGTATCAAGAATGTTAAATGTAATATTAAATTGTTCGTTTTATTGGTATGTATGGATGCAGTGGCAAGTGCTCCTATGCACGGCACAATGCAGTTTAATGCACATTATGTATGCGAATGGTGCCTGCATCCAGGTGACTATTATGAAAGGAGCACGAGATACCCTAACTTGAAATGTCCTGCTCAATTGCGAACACATGATCAAACAATAGATTACATGCGTGATTTTTTGAATAATGGCATGAAAAAGAGCATATTTGGTATTAGAGATGTATCACCTTTAGCATTTCTAGATAAATTTGACATCATTATCGGATTTGTAGTGGACTATATGCACTGTTCGTTGGGTGGAGTTGAAAAATAGATTACGGAATGCATTTTGAATACTTTATCAGGCTATCAAATTGATGACCTGGATTCAAAATTGATCTCAATCAAGGTACCTCATCAAATGTGAAAGAGGGTAGTGGAAGGCAAAGGAATGGGAAAACTATATTTTATTTTATAGTTTACCATTACTTTTGAATGTAGTATCTGCAAGAGTATTTAACTACTGGTTATTGTTTGTGAACGCTCTATATATATTATTAAAAAAAGAAATTACAATTAGTAATGAGTTGAACAAGGCGGATGAAATGTTACACGAATTTGTAAGAAAAACCCAAAAAATATTTAAAAAAAAAATATGACTTACAACATCCATCAGTTGCTGCATTTAGCAACAAGTGTTATGCACTGGGGTCCCCTTTACAGTCACTCGATATTTCCTTTTGAATCAACAAACCACCAATTATTAGAAGCCATTCGCTGTGCAAAAGGTGTGAATTTACAAATTCTAAGGTTCATCAATATTCAAAACGTTGTTGAAAAATTGAAAGAAATGTTATGTAAATTGCCATCACATATAATAATAAGTAACTATGATAAAATTTGTAATAATAGGTTAAAAAAATGTATACAAATTGAGAATATCACGTAGTTAGGTAGTGGAAAAATAGCACCAAATGCTCTCATTAATCATTTTTAAATGAACCCACATTCATTGTTGTATCCCTGTGCTATTATTGACGGATGCCTATATGCCTCAAATAGTCAAATGTGTAAAAGATCTAATAATAGTTTTGCCCAATTAAAAAATAATGAATTTATTTACATACTAGATTTTGCAGTTGATGCGATTGAAAAGATAGGAAGTATTATTTATTACAGTGTTAAAACAGGTACACAATTGAGTAAATTTATGTTTTACTTTGACAAAATAGATGATAAAGCTATGCTAAAAAATTCATCCGAATTACTTAATATTTGTATTTATATTAATTTAAACAATAAGGCGTATATTGCTGGATTACCTAATATCCACAATAACTAAATAATTATGTAATATACGAACCTATTATACTTCAAAATAAATTTGGTCGTATAACATCAAAACTTTATATTATTTTATTTCACCATTATGACAAAAAAATTGAGTAAAATCTGGACCAGTTAAGGGGGGGGGGGGGGGGGNGGGGGGGGGGGGGGGGGGGGCTGAGCACGTTCCAGCCTATTGTCTGTACGCGTAGCAAGTGAAAGCTGCTACGTAATGGGGCGGAGCTATTTGTACTTATAGAATCGCTCTAATTAACGGATTTTTAATTTTATTAGTAAATACAACAGTATATTTTTCATTATATCAATATTAGGCATTCTTCCCGTACAAGTTTGGCCGCAAGATGGCAGTCTTGTACCAGGAACACTCATGCGCAGAGGGCGTTTTTCTTTTACCGCTGTGTTTTTTCTTCAAAAAACTACGTACGAATTTCAAAATGGGGGAAGTTAAAGAAAAAAAGTATGGTAAATTAACTATTATTGAGCTAAAGAAATTGTTGAAAGAACGAGGAGCTCGATTGAGTGGAAGGAAAGCCGAACTCGTGAACAGGTAAGGCAGTAACCTAACGCGCTAGTGCGGGTTATGTTATATACGATATGCGTAAACAATGCAGATTTACATAATTGTAATGATAATTAGTAATACATTGTATTCAATCTTACAGGTTGATTTTTTATGAACGAAACGGAAATTTCGGTTATGAGGCAGTTGATAAAGACAATAGAATTACAACCCCCGATGTAAAATTATACAAGGATATAAATGCATCGAGCTCTCTGCCTAATTTCACTAAAAATCATTTAGATGCTTTTCTCAGTGATTACGAAGCAACAATGGAAAAAGGACAGCACTTGTATGAAAACGGTTTTCTTCGATACTTGAGAAAGTATGAAATAGGTAAAGATTACGTTCTCGCTCTTGAGTTACCATATTAATTTATATTAATACTGTGAATATTAGGTCTTTGTTTTTCTTTGCAGGAAATGAATATTTTGTGAAAGGTTCTGTGAAAGCCGAGCTCAAAAAACACATGAGTTACATTTGTGATGTAAAGTTATGGAGCGATGGAGAGGTAGAAGTTAGCTCTTGTGATTGCCCTGTTGGACAATCTAACTTTGCCCATTGTAAGCATGTAATTACTGTGTTAATTGCCCTCCTAAGTTGGAATATTAATAAATGTGCTATCTTAGAGACTACTTGTACAGAAAATCTACAGACATTTCACAAACCAAAGCGAAAGTATGCTGGATCTCCAATTAAAGCACAAAAATTTAAAAAAATAGTCAAATGCACAAGAAAAAATAAATATAAAAACAACCTGGAAATTGACGACAGTGAAAACTTCAAGATTTTTTACCAGAATTATTTTCAAAATGTAATAAAAAGTCAAGGCTTTGGAAATAATATGATTATGAAACAAATTACCATGCCAGCCAACCCTTACGCTGTTGAATGGGATCATGGTTTTTATACCAAAAAGTCCAATGAGTACACAGTACTCAAGTCACTTGGGCTGATTGACTTAACTGAAGAAGATGTACAACAAATTGAGTTAGAAACAATGAATCAAAGTGACAGTCTAGCTTGGTCAAAAGCAAGATCTGTAAGATTGACAGCAAGCATCTTTCATTCTTGCTGCATGCAGTTAGGCCATGAAAACGCTAAAAATTTAGTAAATAGAATTTTGAGCCCAGTAGCTGTCAAATGCAAAGCCATTAATCATGGCAAGATATATGAAGAAGTGGCTGTGAAAAAATTTAATGAGCAATATAGCAATGCACTTGATATTAAAAAGTGTGGCCTATTTATAAGAACAGAAAGGCCCTACCTTGGGGCTACACCTGATCGATTATTATTTCAGGAATCAATTATTGAGGTAAAGTGCCCATATTCAATACGATTTTGTGAGATAAATGCAGAAAATTTACCTTATTTACAAACAAACTGTGATGGTGAGCTAGAATTGAAAGAGAATCACCCATATTTTTACCAGATTCAAGGCCAGTTGTGGGCTACGAATAGAAACTTCTGTGATATGATCATTTACACATTTAAGGATTTAAAAAGAATTAGTATTAAAAGAAATGATATTTTTATAAATGATATGTTAATAAAGTTAGATGAATTTTATGAAAAATATCTAAAGCCTGCAATAATAGAGAAATATTCATTTAAAAGCTATAGTACTACATTCTAAAGTTAAAACAAAGTTATCATTGGTACAGTATTAATATTAAAAATTATATTTTGTCAAAGTTTGTATGTTATTGAAAAAGTTTATTTTTCCATTACAATTGTTATGTATGGAATACATATGAAATACATTTTTAAATTTTATACACTTTGTTTTATTTCATTTATTTTATTATACATATATTTACATAATACTTTCTTTAAAATTGGTCAACATTACACATACAGATATTATATCTGTTGATAAAGGTAAAAGGTCCCTTGTAAGTTTTTTTGAAAGAATAGTAAAGGTTTTCATCAAACCTATCAACCTTTCAATATGCACTCTATGACGTGATAATTTTCTGTCCTTAACGACAGTTTTATGTGGTAAAGAACCACTCACCATTGGCGTAGGTGTACTAACTGTCACATTATAAGGAGCGAATAAATCTTGCACCATTATTCCTTTGTCAGCTAGAATCACATCACCTGGATCGCATTTTGAAGGTAGATCACTTCTTTCTATGATTTGACGATCACTCGTTGAACCACCATAGGCTGCAGAAGTATAAGATATAAGTCCACCAGGTGTTGTACCAACCATGATTTTAAATGTATTAGCATTTTTGTAAGTACTAAATGTTGCTTGCTTTAAGACTGGATTTTTGGGAGCATCAATTTTAATTTCTGTAGCATCCAATGTAACACGAGTCTTGGGAAAGTGGTTTTTGAAAGTATGTGGCATGTAGAAGTTTATCAATTCTCGACTTGGCCACATATCAATCAGAGACCATGTCTTTGACATAATTGTTATCCATGTATAAAAAATTTCAGCAACACTCTCATTGTCAGTGCTAAAGTGCTCTGCTAACTCCAAGTTGCAAGTTGCTCGTCTCAGTTTCCAAAGAGTTAGAAACAATTGATTTGGTATGCTGATCTTTTTATCTTTTTCAATTTTCTCAAAGTGAGACATAACTGGTGATAACGTGTACAAGATAGTCTTGAATTTTTGGTAGTTGAACCCAGTGAAATGATTTAGCTGTACAGGTTTATGTTTGTAGTTGTCCACATTATACTTTGAACATGAATCTGTCTGCATCATAATTGACTTTTTTAAGTACACTGGCTCTTCATCACTGTGCATATCACTTTTTAATTCTATTACACTTTTATTCAAAGGTTCTACTTCAGCATCAATTTCTTCTTCACATAACTGTCAATTCACTTGTAAAATGTCTTCTTCTGCGAGGAACTTGCTATTTTGTTGTTCAGGTGCATCAGTCGTTGATTGTTGTTCAGGTGATTCAGTTGTTGAAATAAATTCTGGACAGCACGCTTCTTTTTCTTCTATCTCTATATTTTCATTGGAGAAGTTACTTTGTGCAGTAAATGGTTCATTTGCCTCTGGTGGATTGTCAGCTGATTCTTGCCAAGGAAATATAGAAGGTACTGCACCAAAGTTCAAAGTCAATCGACTGAGAAGATAGTTAGCTGTTGAATTGAAGCAAGTGTTGTTATTTTATATATTTTAAATAATTTTAATTATTGATAATATTGCTACTTACCTTCGGTACTAATATTATGGATATCTTGTGCTCTAAAGTGGTTCAAACATAACCCATCACCTACACGAGGAACGAAATCTGGCCTTCTTATCGCTTTCAACCACTTCTTTCTTAACTCCATTCGTTTTGGAAATTTGAATTTCCGAACACCTTGACAATTTTTTACGCTGCATTTCATTTTATTTTACTTAATATTTTAATATTATATTGTATATAGTAAACAGATAGATACAGCAGCAGCAGATAAGATTGGATGTATGTAGCAGACGCAGTGGTTACTATTATTGTTATGCGCGTTCCTGGTACAAGACTGCCATCTTGCGGCCAAACTTGTACGGGAAGAATGCCTAATAATACCACGTTTAGCACGAAATTTTCGTGTACGGTAAGAAAATTGGAAAGATCTTTTCATTACAATCTAACTTTCTTTGATACAAAAACGAGTTTCCTTCTTCGATCTGCAGTTATCTCAATTATTTCCAAAAATGGCATCATATCGAAAAGGATCTAAAGATACAACATATCGTAACAGTAGACCGAGAAAAAGAAAATTCAATGGTAACCAGCATACTTTGAACGCAGATGATGCTGATGTTGAAAGTGCAAGTGCGAAAAACCTGCGAGCTTCATCAGTCGATAGTATTACAGTTAATGCATCGTTCCGTTACTGTTTTATTGAATTTTTCTCTGTGTTTTCAACGTTATCTAGTTTTCTAATATTTGCTAAGTGTCAAGGTTCTGTAATATTCGAAGAAAATGCGTATCGAGGGCTTGGTTTTAAAATTATCGTAAAATGCAAGTGTGGATCCAAAAAAGTGAATTCAGGCCCTCTGATAAATACTGGTTTTGAAATTACTCGCAGAATAGTTTTTGATATGCGCCTTTTAGGTATTGGCTGACAAGGATTGAATCTGTTTTGCAATTACCTGGATATTTGTCCTGGTATATGTGAGAACACGTATAATAAAATATACGATCATCTTCATTCTGCTTCAAAAAATGTGTTTGAATATTGATGTCAAAAGGCAGTTGAAGAAGAAAAAAAAGCGAACGAAGAACAAGGGAAACGCCCTCTCGATTTTAAAGTATCCGGAGATGGTACGTGGAAGAAGAGGGGGTTTAAATCCTTATTTGGAGTAACCACTCTCATAGGATATTATTCAGGAAAAGTAATAGATCTTATGGTACAAAGCAGCTTTTGTCAGTCATGCGCGATGTTCAGTAACAAATCTGAGAATTCTGAAGAATATTTGAAGTGGCAAGAAGAACATGATGAAGAGTCTTGCACTAAAAATCACCACGGCTCAGCGGGAAGCATGGAAGTAGAATCGGTGAAGAAAATGTTTTTGCGATCTGAAGAATTACACGGCGTAAAGTACGTTAATTATATAGGTGACGGAGATTCGAAAACATTTTCAGCGCTTTTCAATGTGAACCCCTACAATAACGAGCCAGTAGTTGTAAAAAACGAGTGTATAGGCCATGCGCATAAGCGTATGGGCTCACGGCTTCGAAGTGTAAGGAAATCAAAACAATTAGGTGGCAAGGGAAAATTAACCGAAACTTTGATAAAAAAGTTGAGCACATATTTTGGCTTAGCAATTTTAAGAAATTTTGACAGTGTTGAAGTATGAAGCGTGCTTATTTGGCTACTAATTACCATCTCATATCTACCGATGAAAATCCGAGGCACGAGTACTGTCCTGCGGGCGACGACAGTTGGTACATCTGGCAACAAGCCGAAGCTCTTGGTATTGAACCTGAAGATCATCCTACTCCATTACACCCGGACGTACAAAAAGAAATTCTACCGATTTACGAAGATTTATCTCGCGAAGATCTACTAACAAGATGTTTAGGCGGGCACACCCAAAACGCAAATGAGAGCTTTAACTCTACGATTTGGTGATTGTCCCCTAAACATTTGCATTGTGGCTTAAAAGTGATCGAAGTAGCATCATTTATAGCTACTGTTATTTTTAACGAGGGCCATAGGGCATTACTTCCATTAATGAACGAATTTGATCTTCAAGTTGGTACACAAAGCTTCGAATTTGTCGAAAAAATTGACGCGGCCCGCGTCATACGACAGAATAGACGTAGTTCACTCGAGTCGAGAGATGCTAGAAAATCCAAAAAAGACGAGTCCTTAAGGTGAATTCAAGCTTTACAGGCCGAGGAAGGATTGTTGTATGGCGCTGGAATAGCAGATTAGAACGTAAGCATTATAAATACAATTTTTTATACGATAAAAGTTTTCAAAAACTTTAAACGCGTCTATCTCAAAATAACATTTTCGCAACTGGCGTGCAACATAACTCAACGAAAAATCAACCGATCTTCAAAAATCAAAGATTTTCTAATTCGTTATTAAATTACCTTGAAAATGAACCAAAAAAATTATGGAAAAGATGATGAAAAATATTTTTTTCGTCACATCGAAGTGTGAAAAAAATTATGAAAAATCAATTTTTTTTCAAATGGCCCCCATTTTTTTAATTTTCAACTTTTTCATGATCTGGTTGGTTCATATTGAAGGGAAGGATGCTAACAATTAAAAAAAATTTATCTGATGATTTCAGGATAGATTTGCGACCTCCACAATGCACGCCAGATGCACCTCCGCCGTCGAGACGCTGTGAGCAGGAGCTCGTAACTCCGCCATTTTGAAAGATTTTATCTTGAAAAAATTCACAGAGATACTTTAAAACATTACAACATGACCTATAAGTTTCAATCGTATTGAACCATTGTTTCTAATAAAAAAAAAAATCGCAAAAAAACGCTTAAATAACCGCCTGTAAAGGTATCTCTCCCCTTAAATAATAACTTTTTTTAAAGCTAGAAATTTAAATGAAGAGTAAAAAAAAAAAAAAATTTCACCTATCCCATCGATTCATATGCGAAATCGTGTGATAATTCATATGACAAATCATTTTACGAAATGGCCCGCGATCGCATAAGACATCTGTAACCTCATATCTTACCCCCGACGTACCTCGTCGGTTACGTGTGTCCCTTGGCTCTGTGGATCCGTTCTGCACGTCCGGGGTCTACTGTGACACTACGAGCATCGACGAAGAACAGCTGATGTCTTATCATCACAATCAGCTGTTGTACCCCTACTATGACAGCTAATCAGCTGTTATATCCCTGCCTTGACAACCAGTCAGCTGATTGTATCCCTTCTTTGACAGATCAGCTGATGGTCGTTTGGGGTAGGAAGATTTTGGCGCGAGATCGGCCCTATAAAAGAGCCAGCTCGAGCTACGAAGAATCAGAAGCCTTCGGTTGGCAACTCACGGAGCAACTCATAAAGCTCTAAGCCTTGCAACTATAAAGCAAGTAGCAGCTCTCGACGACGATCTAGCAACTTATACCGAGCAGATATCGTCGAGGCTGGTTAAAGTTATAAGAAATTCTTATTCGCGTTCGCGCGTATAGCGGCTCACTTGTGTTA